ATTCAGAAATGATGTCATAAGAGAAAATGTCGGCATGTAATAGTTTCTAAGAAACGCATCAGATAGTTTGTCCTCTTAGAGAGAATGTCTGGTTACGCCGTACCATTCCACGCATACACCATAAGAGTGGAAGGAAACAGAGCACAACGTAAACCAAGAGCAAGACAGAGAGATTTCATCTGAGAAACGATGTGTCTTTCGTCCATTTTCGGCTTTGTGCCGCTAGGCGTCGCAGCTTAAGCGGGGATCGGTTTCAGAGCTATGATCATTCGGTTGCCCCGTGTACTGCGATGTTGTGCAGTCTCAAAGTATCAATGACTTATTTATTCCACGTTTTACCTGGCGGACCCCTACATCTTGGTGTTTCTACTTTCATGGGGGTCTCAGTGGCATTGGCGGCTAGACACCCGCCTGCGGATAGGAAAGTCATGTGTTTTGACAGAGCCGGACTTTTTTTTTTTTTTTAAATGACATTGTCTCTAAGCTCGACCCAGCCTTGAGTGGGTACCAGGTGTAGTCCTGGGAAGTACATCTTTAAGAACCAGCCCAGGCAATTTTTGGCTGTTCTCGTTTCTCTAGGCAAGTTTACGTCCACTAGTTTGTCATTGCTTCCTGGACGGTCAGCTTCTCGATATCACTGTCAAAATTAATGCAAGATGCTCACAGCTTAGATCAAAACCGGCACCCCAGAATTACGAAGCGCGTTCGCAACGCCTAAGCCACAGACACTGACCCCCGATTAGTACGACTGTTTTAACGCGAAATCTTGAGTTTTAGATTCTTCGTTTTAAAAACGGTTTACAGTGTTTTATTTTATTTTTACACAAATTTAGATGCATAGTTTAACACGGTCACCATTCAGGGGAATCACAAACAGCGTCATTGATTAAGGAAAATGATTGATGGAAATATAGATTATAACAGACGTTTGCTTCCTCACCTGATCCATGATACTCTCATCGTCATCCCAGAAAGTTTTAAAGTTGACCACCGGGTCAGCGGCGTCCCACATGGCAAACATCGAGCTGCTTGTCATCTCATCGTCCTTGTGCCTTGTCACAAACATCTGGTGTCGACCCCAGCTCATTGAAGGCTCGAACCCATCTCCTTCTGGCAACAATGTTTTTGTTAACCCCTTATGGATGAGTCTATAAGCGGGATTGTTACCTAAAACTGAAGATCTGTTACTATAAAACAGTAGATGCTTAGGGTGATTGAAATCAAACATATAGACAGCTTCTTTTTCTGTTTTCTTGTCTTCTTTTACCATAACATTTTGGGTGTGAAACTGTGAAGGATTATCTGCCCACTTGTCTCTTTTAGCCTCTTTACCAATGTTCCACGTCTGGTATCTGTTGCTGGTACCCTTAATGTCTATATCAGCTTTGAACTGAAACAAGTGATGATGTAATCCGGCCACTACATTGTCACTTATCCGAGTACCATACAATTCTTCCTCCGGAAAGTGAAAGCTTGAAGCGAGGTATCCTGTAGAGCTAACTTTAACTTCAATGGCCCCGTTGTTATGAAATACAAAGTCGAAGACGTAATCGTAATTTATAATACATATATACATTCTAACAACTAAAACATGGTCAATGAGAGCACTGTAAAAAGCCCCTGACATGCCATACGCTCTGTGACGGCGCAGAGGCGTCTCCGGATTATGTTCGAAAATACACAAAGAGTTTGGCAATGTCTTGAGGCCAAGCTCATTAGAAGTGTACACGATAGCGTCCAGCATGGAGCCGTGTTCTGGACAATCAATCCCGGGCATCATGCCTCGCATGCGTGTCCCAAAGAGTCCGGCGCTGTCTGCGAAGTAGAGCATGCTGGCCGCTGGGGAGTGTCCTGAGTACAGAACGCCAATTTCTTGCATGCTCAGCTCGTAAACTATTCGTTCTCCTTTGTACCTGATATCAAATAGTTGAGGACCAACGCTCGGGGATATATGCAGGTTGAAACGCCAGTCCATATAGTTGACAAGATTGCCCTCGATCGTATATCTTGGCCCTGATGGCTGGATTTGCTGAGGAGGTGGCTTGGTTGTTTGGGGGACTGGATCACCTCTCATATACACAGCACTGTACTGATCTTTCAAAGGCTGGATTGGAAATGTTATTCTGGTTTTATTAATCGTATTTTTGTCATACATATCTAAAAATTCCTCCAGACTTTTAAAAAGCTTGTTTGCGTAAAAAACACGTTGTACTTCCCAGTGAGCCGGATCAACCGCCGACATGTCTACAAGAAACTGAAAGTCCAACGGGTGCAATGTGTAAAACTCCACATCGTATGCGAACCAGAACCAAGATTTGCGACTACCTTTCTCTAAAAATCCGCTAGAGACCGGAGTCACAGAGAACCGTAAGCACTGGTTTCCGCAGTTAAACACTGTAGCGTTGTAGCTTTCTTGTAGGACTCTCCCAGCTTTCTTGAGGACCATCGGAAGTATATGCTTGTAAATAGCCTTGAATTCGTACTTGGAGAATGGCCTCATATTGTATGGCACTTTCGTTTTTCTGGAATTTGACACTGCCAAAGACATCTTCTCTGGGTGAGGGAGTGGTCCTACTATGTATTCTTCCACACAAGGATCAGAAGAGTTTCCTCTAAAGATAAAAGCTCTTGCCATTCGTGGTGGCTGTGGACCTGTCCCGTCTAAATATCTCAGCACGTCGCTTTTCGGCGGTGTTAGCAACTCCACTAGGTGGATGTAGCTACTGTTAACTTCAGCAACATCCAGTTTTGTTAAATTCAGAGATTTATGCGAGTAAAGAAATGCGACAATGTTTTCTATCTCAAACGGTGTCAGTCCCGAGAAAGGGTTGAGATGACCGTTGTACAGCTCGCCACTGTTGACTTGCTCATGGATGAGACATTCGGGAGTGCTGCTGGTTCTTGTCGTGCTGGTCCAGGGAAGAAGAATGGTGGCAACAAGCGCTAGCGTGAGCACGATGCACAGAATAGCTAGAAGAAAGGTAAATACTTGCCATGGTCGTTTGCAGCTGTTGTAGTCAACATGTCGACTCGACAATCTAAACAAATAAATAAAAAATAAACGATTAAATCAGTGAACAAAGAAACGAATCGGCCCTTGTGGGCGTGACCAAATTTACAACTAACCCGGGCAACAAATGCCATAGAAGTCGGATGTATCGGCCGAAAGATGTTAATATGTCAGGCGCTTTTGTAAACTGGCACAACGCATTTACATCTTCGCATGAACGCTGAAAACAACAGCAACTGAGTCTTGAACAAGCCGTGTGCCTTGCCATTTGAACACTGGTCAGTATGTTAAAACTGGGCTCTAAAAAGTTAGTTTTCTACAAGGTTTTACTGCTGCAAATTCCCCATTTCTAGACCTAGAGTCCACAGATTTCATCGCCCAACTTCTATATTTAATGCGTCGTGTTTAATTAATCTTAATTTGGCAAAAAAAAAAAAAAAAACAGCAATGCCACACATTGGTTTCATACACAGCTAGTACACAGAACCATAATTATGTTTTTTTTATTTTGTTTTGTGTTTTGTTTACAAAGATGTTTGATGTACTCTTCACAACTATATATAGTGCCCAAAACATTTATGTTCTCATTTTCACATTATTTTTTTTTTATTTCTACAGAGTTCCTGAGATCCTTTGCTGCAGCTACAGAATACGTGCTTTGTTTGAGGTGCGAGACGTTTACACTCGACGGATAGCCATTCTGTGGAGAAACGGCGAGCCGTTTGTGAACTGGAGCAAAAAGTAAAACGCAGACCAAGCCACACTGGACTAACTGTTACTTGGTAGCCATGTTGTGGTGTCCTCATATAACTGGGCCACATGACTATACTGTTGAATGGTGATTTTCTGGGATTTGAACCTGTCTGATTCTCATCATTGAGTTGCTAATCCAGCAGACTGCAATATTGCAGTATGGAAATAAACAAATGAAGTTTAGTCTATTTCCGTTGCGCTGAGTCTCTCTCTCTCTCTCTCTCTCTCTCTGTTTCTCTCGCTCTCTTTCTTTCTCTCTCTCTCTTTCTCTCTCTCTCTTTCTCTCTCTCTCTTTCTCTCTCTCTGTTTCTCTCTCTCTGTTTCTTTCTCTCTGTTTCTCTCTCTCTCTCTCTCTCTCTCTATCTATCTATCTATCTATCTATCTATCTATCTATCTATCTATCTATCTATCTATCTATCTATCTATCTATCTATCTATCTATCTATCTATCTATCTATCTATCTATCTATCTATCTATCTATCTATCTATCTATCTATCTATCTATCTATCTATCTATCTATCTATCTATCTATCTATCTATCTATCTATCTATCTATCTATCTATCTATCTATCTATCTATCTATCTATCTATCTATCTATCTATCTATCTATCTATCTATCTATCTATCTATCTATCTATCTATCTATCTATCTATCTATCTATCTATCTATCTATCTATCTATCTATCTATCTATCTATCTATCTATCTATCTATCTATCTATCTATCTATCTCTCTCTCTCTCTCTATCTATCTATCTATCTATCTGTGTGAGCGTGTATGTGTGTTCCTTCTTTTTAAAATGTTAAACTCATTCCATTACGCCAAGCATCTTTGTCGTCTGTCTATTTATATTTGTTTGTATACCTGTTCAACCCCCCCCCCCCTTTTTTTTTCTCATTCAGTTTTTGTGTGTGTGTGCTTTAGCCTCAAACAACATTGTATGCTCAACAGCATAAGTATAGCTAACACAGCCATCTTGCTGCCTGTCTACAGATACCGGGTACATCCATTTTATCCCCAGATTTTTCTGTCAGGAAATACCTGCAGCGCATTCCAAAACATCAAATTAATACACAACCGCCCCCCCCCCCTCTTTTCCCTGAGCTAGACTCGCCTGCTATTTAGGTGTGTATTTTGTTTGTTATTCCACGCACAAAACGACGAATTACATGTGAAATTTTTTTTTTAAATTTTTTTTTCGCTTTAAACGTTGTCTTGTGCCGACCTTGCTTAACCTGAGATAGGAATGTATGTCACGCGGTTGTTGTTGACATAAAGCACGGATCTGATTCGCTAAAACGAACACACCCTTAAAACGCGATGATGAAATACGCATGAGTCGCAATGGTTTCGTATTTGGCCAGGCATTCCCATACAATCCATCGGGCACAGTTTTCACAGCATAGAGAGGGGTAGGGGATTCGTTTTTACTGTCGACGCTTCAGGAGGTCGGCCTGCTCGTTGTTTGTTATAAATGGCAACCAACCAACTTTGTACATTTCAGGAGTTCCTAAACTGACACCGGTTGTTGCAATTACAACTGCACAGATAGTTGCAGCCTGGCACAACTGCACAAAACGTTGCAGCCTACCAGCCTGGCACAACTGCACAGATAATTGCAGCCCATCACAGTCTGGCACAGCTGCACAGATAGTTGCAGCCCATCAATCTGGCACAGCTGCACCGATAGTTGCATCCCAGCAGCCTGGAACAACTGCACCGATAGTTGCAGCCCATCAGCCTGGCACAACTACACCAATAGTTGCAGCCCATCAAAGCCTGGCACAGCTGCACAGATAGTTGCAGCACATCACAGCCTGGCACAGCTGCACAGATAGTTGCAGCCTACCAGCCTGGCACAACTGCACAGATAGTTGCAGCCTACCAGCCTGGCACAGCTGCACAGTTAGTTGCAGCCCATCACAGCCTGGCACAACTGCACAGATAGTTGGAGCCCATCAATCTGGCACAGCTGCACAGATAGTCGCTGCCCATCACAGCCGGGCACAATTGCACAGATAATTGCAGCCCATCACAGCCTGGCACAGCTGCACAGATAGTTGCAGCCCATCAATCTGGCACAGCTGCACCGATAGTTGCATCACAGCAGCCTGGAACAACTGCACCGATAGTTGCAGCCCATCAGCCTGGCACAACTACACCAATAGTTGCAGCCCATCAAAGCCTGGCACAGCTGCACAGATAGTTGCAGCACATCACAGCCTGGCACAGCTGCACAGATAGTTGCAGCCTACCAGCCTGGCACAACTGCACAGATAGTTGCAGCCTACCAGCCTGGCACAGCTGCACAGTTAGTTGCAGCCCATCACAGCCTGGCACAACTGCACAGATAGTTGGAGCCCATCAATCTGGCACAGCTGCACAGATAGTTGCAGCCCATCAATCTAGCACAGCTGCATAGATAGTTGCAGCACATCACAGCCTGGCACAGCTGCACAGATAGTTGCATCCCATCACAACCTGGCACAGCTGCACAGATGGTTGCAGCCCATCAGCCCGGCACAACTGCATCGACAGTTGCAGCCCAGCAGCCTGGAACAACTGCACCGATAGTTGCAGCCCATCAATCTGGCACAGCTGCACAGATAGTTGCAGCCTATCAATCTGGCACAGCTGCACAGATAGTTGCAGCCCATCAATCTAGCACAGCTGCACTGATAGCTGCAGCCCATCACAGCCTGGCACAACTGCACAGATGGTTGCTATGGTCTGGGACATCTATGGTCTGGGACATCTGTGGTCTGGGACATCTATGGTCTGGGACAATTATGGTCTGGGACATTTATGGTCTCGGGCATCTAATGTCTGGGACATCTATGATCTAGGACATCTATGGTCTGGGACATCTATGGCCTGAGACATCTATGGTCTGGGACATCTATGGTCTGGGACATCTATGGTCTGGGACATCTATGGTCTGGGACATCTATGGTCTGGGACATCTATGGTCTGGGACATTTATGGTCTGGGACATCTATGATCTGGGACACCTAATGTCTAGGACATATATGGTCTGATACATCGGACTAAACAAATAAACTACCATCTACATTCGCTTTTATTTCTCTGGGTTTTTTTTTTTTTTTTTTTAGTCAGGTGGGTCGTGAAACAACTGTCCCAGTTTTAGTGAGAAAAATTGGAGTGGATAACATCAGATATTTAAAACATCCTGCACACACACACAGACACACGCACACACACACACACACACACAAAAGTTACATACACAGATTACATTTGACGTCATTCATTCTATTGATACACGACTTACGTAGGTGTTGTGTCTAGAAATCAACAAGGACATATTTGTATCCACATAATGAAAATATTTCGCTCAAGCACATACAGACATGCAGATAACGCCTTTCGTCACGAAATCTGCGACTTGGCGTCGAAGTTCATTTGAAAATTTGTTCAAGTATTTCCCCCCCCCCCCCCCCCCCCCCCCCACCCCGCTAATCTGTGCTGCCTTTCATAGTCCGATTTTGATTAGCCTTGATGGTTGCTACGCAATCGATGGTATTCAAGACTTAGGATAGTCCATCTAGCTCTGCTTCTTTTTGTCTTTGGTCCATTGTCATATGGCAGTTTTGAAATATGTCTGAGCCATTTCATCTGTTGGTTCTTGGTGTAATTCAGCGCTGGTTCTGTAGCAACTGCTTTTCTAATACTATAACTGGTTGAAATGGAAGCTGAAATTTTAGTCATAT